CCCCCCCCGCCAGCGCCCGGGCGACGCCCCGCGGCGGATGCGCGGGACGAAGGCCGAGCCGGGGGGGTCCCCCCGATCGCCAACAAAAGACCCCCCGGGGCCGGCCAATGGCGAAATATACGACATCCGCCCTGGGGAATCAACGGAATACCAAAATATATTTACTTATTTATTTATAGATATAGATATAGATATAGATATAGATATATAAAGGGGGAGGAATAGTCTAAAGAATTAATGCCAATACAAGGGAGATCGGAAAGGGATGGGCGGGAAGATCGGCATGGGGGGGTCCGGATGCAATAGCTATCGCCGGTTGTGGTGGTTCTTTGTTGGGGAAAAAGAGGAAAACGTGGGGGAAAAAGTCCAATCGTTGGGGTCCAAAACGCACCACACAAACAAACACACAAACAAAGGCCCCCATTTGAAAGGAGGGTCCTTTCCAATCATTTGGTCATGGCCGGCGCATGCCTCTGGAAAAACACGTGGCCGAGAAAAGGGGGAATTGTACAGATACGGACATCCTTTACAGACCTTCCTTGACCTCGGTGCGTATTGTTCTTCCCGTGAGCCCCCATTGACGGCTGTGGTATGAAGCGATAGCGCCCTGTCCGAGCCTGAAAAGGTATCCTATTGAAGGGCACACATTTTTTTAAAAAAAAGGGAACGATTAAAGCTCAGACAACAACGCCGCTTAACACCAGCGGGATCTAAACCGTAGGCACGCTATTTTCACACTTTTAATCCGACCACAGGTCTAATCCCCAAACCGTCGGAAAGAATGGACATCGCGGTGATGGACTTCAATCAACATTCTAATCTCTGCGCCCATCAATATTACGGTAGATTCATTGGTAAATAAACACGCGGTCGCTCCTCATGTGGTGGCTTACGGCCGACAGCGTCAAGAGAAACATGAGGATGCATCACCGACATAATGTGGTGAAAGAAAAGCTAACATTTGCGGAACCACTCATGACAAAAGTGGATAGGATGTGAAGAAGAAGAAAAAGATGAGGAAGCCTCGCGGGACAGCGAATTGACTTCAGTGAAAAGGGATTTGAATGAAATAAAAAAGAGATATTGGGAAGGGAGATTGTAAATCTATGGACAAAACGCTTAGGGCATAGTCTGGAAGTGTAGTTCACATACTTTTTCCTAGTCATTATAATTAAAAAAAAAATAAATAAACTTTTTCAATTAATAAAAGAAAATAGCATTTCTGAATGCCATTTATAGTATACTCAATCAATAATCAATAATATATACTAGCAAATCTGTTTTAAATAAAATATAAAATGTGAATACGTAAGGAAAACATTAAAAAAAAAAACGGAAAATAATATACTATTTATGTCGTTCAGCTTCCAACGGAGAAATTAATCGACTCGACCTCCCGGAAGATCCGTGGAGGTTATTCTGTTTGAAACGTTTGGGATCGGACCTCAAAGGATGGGCTTATCCATCTGGGATGACGATTCGGCAAAAATAGCCCTCGCACGGTTCTTAATTAGTCGCCGCTCACATGGGAAATACCGCCAGATGTCAAATAGAAATATGACGGCCAATATCAGTAAGACGTAGCCGATAAAATGGAGCTGTTCGTATTGGAATGTCCACGCCACCAAAAAACAGAAACAAATGGTACCGATGCCATAATAAAAGAACCATTTTATCAGAGTTCCTAAGCAGGAGCAGCACATCATTGTTGGGATATTAAAAGGGTAAAGGGAATTATGAGTATAGGGGAAAAGTCTAGTATAGAAGTTCTTTATTTTCGTGATATCGCATGGGCGAGGACGAAATTCCTATTTCCGTCGGGTTGTCTGTTAGGTTACTTGAGAAGTTGGTTTACGATGGAATTATCCCGTATCCTTGTGATGGGAAAATGAAGATGGAAATTAAAAAATCGGCGTAAGTGAGGTAAAGGGTTCTTATCCTTCAAGCATAATCGCTGCGGGAACCCAATACGCAAGCGAGATCATGCAAGGGTTGCTAAAATCATGTCGCATTGCTGTTGATTTTTGGAGGGGTTTCATAAAAGATCATTTTTTTTTTCGGTATGTGCATGGGAGTAAAATAAATATATATATTGTCATATTTAACTATATTTAAACGTATAAGGAATTAAAACTAGAGCCCATGTCACTTAAAAATAAAAGTAGTTGAAAATATACTTTACAGGATAGGAATAAATTCTAAAAATAATGAGGATTTGGAAAAAAAAAGAATCGCATCATAACTTTGCTTTTCATGAGGTACACATTTTTCTAAAAGGTCTAATCTCCTCTTTCTTGCGCCCATATCGGCCAGATACCTGATCACAACAAAACCCTCGTCGAAGGCAAGTTGACGTGGAGAGAGTTTTTGAAGAAAATGGCGGGTGAGATTAGACCGTTTCGCCACGGAATTTAAATCGTTAGCACTCTATTATGGAGTGCACTTTCGTTGGGAACTTACCTCTTATGTGCGGCTTCCACCATCCTCCGAATCATCCGCTGTTCACACGGAAGGTAGCGCCACAATTGATATTCGTTAAAGAGATACATAATCAGCAACACCACCTCAAATTGCACCACGACGTCAAAATATTGAGGAAAATCGATCAGAATAAAGATTAAACCGACTTCAAAAATCGCGATCACGCCGAAAATAAGAGCGACTTTTAGAATCATAATAACCGATGGACAAGATATTCTGATTGGTTGGAAAATAAGTGTTGCAATGCGTGTATGAGAGATTAATATGAGGACTAGAACTCTAAAAAATGGTGAAAAAAATAAGTGGGAACCTCTTCATGAGAAAATGGAAATTCAACGAGCAAAAGTGAGAAGTACGATAAAAGATAAATTCATATATTAGTAAGGAAAAGAAGAAAAAATTACAAGTCGTATAAAAATTATAAGATTGTATTTATCTCGAAAAAAAAAGGGACGCAGCCATAAAACGCTGAAACACTGCTCCTTCACATCCTCTATGGTGTTCTACTGGGACGAACCTAAAGAAACGTGCTTTTAAGTGATGGATAGAGACAGACTTATAGAAAACAACAATCTACGGAAAGTAAAATGGTAAAGATCGTTTTTTCAAACCATTAATTTTTTTGCTATATTTCAAAAATTTACTGATAATAGGCTGATAAAAACGGGAAAAATGAGGAAGCACGGGTTCCTTCAAATGAAAACGGATAAAAGATTCTGAAGGAGCTATGACAAGGATAGCAACTAAAAAATAATGCACCTCACGTAACTAAAAGGAAAGGTTTGCGTTAGTAAAAATACCCAAATAATTAATAAATGAGATACTATATCAGAGGGAAGTTATTACAGAAAAGAAACCGCTCTTCCCTTCCATCAGCAATTCCTAAATGGAGCTTAGAGTGCGTCTCCATGATAATCATTATTACCTTCCTGTTTTGAAACTGGATATGTCTGTTTAGGCATTTGCTTTCCCATCAGAATGTAAATTTCCTTTGCTGATAAAATCCAACCTTTATTTTCCTTTGAGTTGCTGTGTCTTTCTGAATAATCATCTCAACACTAAAACGCATTAATGCCACGCTGCATTACTTTCGAATCTTTTTTATTTATGATTTCAACACACATAAAATTGATGAATGCTCATTTGTACCATAAGAACGAAAGACAGCGATCTAACTTTCAACAAAATGAATCATCAGAACCTTCCATCCCTCCCCCTACTAAACCTTTGAAAATTCTTTAAAAAAGTCCTACATTTGCATAATGTTTCATGGAAAATCTGTTGAAGGTTGTAACGTGAACAACATATAAATAAATAATAAGCAAAGTAACCTCTGGCAATCAAACAAATAAAATAAATAAAAAAGAGAAAATGTGCAATTACTAAACGCGGGAAGTACTTAACTATACCTTTTTTAGGTTTTTGGTATCGTCATTCGATCTAATTCACAGCCATCAGAAAAAAGTAGTGGAAAATCTGTGGTACGCGACGAGGGCTTCTGTGAAACCACAGAGTTCAGAATACGAGCCAATAAAATGCATGTAATAAGGAAAGAATCCTTTGCGCAGACTCTGATACTTTTCAAGCTTGTAATAAGTAAAAACATTGGATAAATAAATATGTAAGGATGCATATATGCATATATATATATATATATATATATATATATATAATATATAGATCGATTATTACTAAG